AAAGAAAAGCACATGAGACCAAAAAAATAAATATTTTAAAATGAAGACCATCACTCGGGAAACTTGTAGTCATACAATAAATTGAGTCTTCCATTACGACTTTATTATCATTCTTTGAAGTGTTGCTGTGTACTTCCTCTTACTCACACCCTAACTGTCCATACACATGAGTCTTCTTCATGAGCCTAATTCCTGATGCATTCCCCTTCTCTAGTGCCAGCAGAAAACTGCCACAGAGAAGGTTGACATCACCACAAGCTGAGGAAAACTCAGTTTTTGTATTCCTGGAACAAGAACCTTGGCTCAGTAATTTTCTCACTATGGATTTTATTTTTGTCCTTCCCACCTACCTGTTTTGTCAAGGGAACTAAGAGAACAGCATCATTAAGAATTCACATAGATATAGTTCTCCCCAAATCAACCAGATCCTATGCAGTATCATTACAGACACACAAAAATAGTTATATAAACAGTCAGAGCAACAGCTAATTACAACCCCAGGGGTTAGTGACCAAGTGGTGCTGCAGAGATCTGGGAATTATCACCTACGGTCGTTTTGACTTCCCACTGTAGCCAAGCAGAGAAGCTGTTAATGACGAGAAATGAGACCTTCAGGTTTCTTATGACATACAAGTACTGACCATCTTTTAAAGCTACTTTAAATAGTTACTTTATGATGGTTAAAGTTGAATTCCAGAGTAACATTTTAATTTGTCCTTTAAAATGTTGATTACCACAATAATATTCAACTTAAACACAGAATATATTAAGTATAAAGAATATCACACAGAAATAAAACCACACAATATTCCATGAAAAAGAAAGTGAAGAGAATATATAAGGAAATGAGATTTAAATTGACTTCAAAAATAATACTTTAATACATATTCTAGTGAAGCCCCAGAACCATATTGTGAAATAAATATAATTGTTACCACATAATCTCAGAAAAATTATTGATATTATACAGATATTATAAGCTTGAGCTATATATGAATTTAGGACTTCCTTAATTTTTCTTCTCTTTCTTTCTTAAATTATAGAAAAGTCAATATTACCCAACACATTCATGAAGCACAGGATCTTGAATCCAAATTTCAGGCATGCATAACAGATAAAACTGTAGGTCAACCTCAATTATGTAAATAAATTCAGAATTTCAGTCTAAGATTCCAGTCTTGAGATGCTTCTCCCTCTCTTTCTTTAAATAATGAGATGAAATATAAATGTGAACTCCATTCTTACAAAAACCAGGTAATCTACCTACAATTCCAAGGCATGACGTGTAAAGTAAAACCACATACCATAAAAATTGAAATAGGACAAGAATGAACACCAAAAGAAAATGCATGCCTCTAAAGATCTTGAATCAGTCAGAATGTTCAGTAGTCTCAAAAAGAGGTAGCTATGTTGAGAAGAAAACCAGTGATTGTCACTTTGAACAGCAGTATCAGAATGTGTGAACCCTCACATTAGAAAGTGATGGGGTAATGGAACTTAAAGAGAAAGATACAGATACAGCACCTTCGAAATATAGTTAGGCCATGTGTATAGCATGGCAAGAAGTGGGGGAAAGCATCCAGACATTGACAATTGCCATTATATAATGAGAAGAAACAGACAAATCATAAGATATATGATAAATTTTAACAAATATGACCACTCTGAATCAGTAGTTAGACCAGCAGCCCAGGCTTGAGTCATACTAACAAATGAGAGGTATTTTGAAAACAACATTCCAAAACTCAATTGCCTTCTATCATATATTACAATCATCCCACCTCCTCCTTCATGATATCCTTTCAAATATCTAGTATATTAATGGATTAATGATGATAAAAATTATATTTCATAGCATAATGATTCTATTATAAAATAATGATGACCTGTGTGAATATACTTCAATAAGAAAGAAAAGGGAAAATGACATAAGATATACAGCAAACACATAATAGAAGGTTATGCCATGAACTAGTGAAAATTATAAGCAAATTTTCAATGAAAATGTAAAGATATCTTCTTTTTTAAATGACATTTAGAAAATATGAGTCAAATTAAGTAAATGACAGAAAATATGAAGTGATGAAAAATAAACTGGAAATTTCAAAAAGTAAATAACAAAATGAAAGTGTGAAAGAAACAATCACTAACAGAAGAAAAAAGTGGGAGCTTAAATATTCTAAAAAGAAGAATAGAGTTTAAAAGAATTAAAGAAAATATAGATTAAAATAATATCCAATAAATTAAAAATTAGTGTTTCTTAAAGAGTTCATAATGTTTATTATAGAAATTATTTAAAATAAAGCAAAAGAACACTTCTCCAAAACAAAAGAAACATTGAATTTACAGACTAAACAGCTTATCAGAAACCAGGGGGGAAAAAATATTGCATGGGTCACATCAAGGCAAATCCAACTGGTTATCAAACCTCGTGTGCACAAAATAAAGAAACTTAAAAAAAAAAAAAAGAAAGCTTAGGAAACAGAGTTCTCAAGAGGCCTTACTGAATAAAATAGAGACTAAACTTCACTATTCAAAAAATGAACAGATATGGTAATAGTAAATTAAGAAGTTTAATATTAAACAGTCCTGGGAATCCTGGGGAATACGGTTAAAGAACAGAATACAAATGTCACAAACTATGACAGTATGAAGAGTAATTAGTTACATGTCAGTTATATAGTAATAAAACTGGAAAATATATTTTAAAAAAGAATAATTAGTAACAAAAATTAAAAACAAAAATATTTCTACTGAAATATTCTGATTTCTTTATCTTTCATAGTAGGAGGGATTCAAAATTACTTTAAGGGTGATTAATTATTATTTTAAAGTATAGAGGTAATGATTAAAAGAACTAAGAATTAAGAAATCAAATAAAATTGAGTGATGAAGGGGAAAAGGATAGGGGGTTGGGTAAAAGATGAAAGGCATGTATACTAATTTCTACTATAGTGAGAAGCCATTTCCTTCTCCATTTCCTTCTTTCCAACCTGACTGAACCTGGGTCTCTGGCATTGCAGGTAGATTCTTTACAATCTGAGCCACAAAAGCCCACAGTGAGGAGTCAATGGGTACTATCTTTGAGGTAACACAAAGTCACAGCATTACCTATGTTATATATAATGAGTAATTAAAACTCAGTATAAACCTTCAAAGTTATTAAAAGAAAACACACACACAAAGAAATAAAACATCATACAGAGAGAAATTTTAATACACTAAAAGTATTCAAAAGGATGCATAAAATTAATTCATTTACTTATCCTAATATTTATTGACTACCCCATTGCCAGGAGTGTGCCCAGAACAAATGACTGATCGTTCCCCCATCTTGAGGTTTTATATACTAGAGGCAGAGGCAGATATTAGTTAAACAACCACAGAAAGAAATGCAAAATTGCAAACATGAAAATTATACTGTCATATTGTAATAGAAGGATTTGATGTAAGCAACAAAGTCAGTAAAGATTTCCTGAAGAAGGAACTGGAACTAAAATCTAAATGATAAATAGATGTTGACTAAGAATGGAAGACAAAAGATCCCTGAAGGGGGAACAATTTGTGCTTCCCCTTGAGGCCAGAGTGGGCACTGGAAGTGAAACCTGGAAATACATTGAGAGAAAATGAGGGGAGATTTATACAGGATAAGGCTGAAATAAGTAGTGGGATACTGTTTCTAGGAGAATGAGAAGACAAGGAAAATTTAAAATCTTCCTCCAAGGAGGATGATATGAGCAGACTAGATATTTATGACTATCACTTGGGTCCCTGTGTACAGAGTAGGTTTGAAGGAATCTGGACTGGATGCTGGGGCTTCCCATGTGGTTCTAGTGGTAAAGAACCTGTCACCCTGGGTCAGGAAGATCCCCTGGAGGAGGGCATGGCAATCCACTCCAGTATTCTTGCCTGGAGAATCCCATGGACAGAGGAGCCTGGCAGGCTATACAGTCCATGGGGTCACAAAGAGTTGGGCACAACTAAGTGACTTAGCACACAGCACACAAATGGAAAAAATAGGCTATACTGGACTTATGACATTTGGCAAGCACTGGAAACTCACGCTGGATTTTTACAGTGCACTACAAAAAGTTCTATAAATTTGCATTGAAAATATTTGATTCATATGTCTCTCTAATTATATCTCCTCCAGGCCATACATCTTGGGGTGCTTCAATGTGTTCTTAGAAACAATTCTAGATACAGAATAAATACAATGCCATATATAAAAAGAAGTGAATAGCTTTAGGAGACAGATAAAAGAATGAGTAATTGGTTCATAAATATACATGTATGTGAACAATAGGAAACCAGTAGTTTCATTTGTTTAGGCTTTCAAAAATCTTCCCAACAGGGTTTATGTCACCAATAAAAAAATATTGGTGATTAAGAGAAAGTAGTGAGAAAGAGGCAGAAAGCAGAAGACAATGAGGCCAGACGGACTGGCATTTCCTTAGTCTGGAGTCAGATACTTGGTAACTTGTTGATGCAGAATCTGAACAGAAAATTTTCCTGCTGAAAAAGATATCTATATCCTCAAAATTACAAAGAGATAATTGATATAATAAACCTGAAGGACTTGCATGAAATGTGAGTATTTTCCAACTCACCAAAGGAATGAGAAAAAGACCCATTCTTGGTAAATGTGAAGATTATCAATGGAATAATTAGCATCCTGGTTACTTCAAGACATAGATTATGGGTAAATATATGGACAAATTGAAACAATTATCAGTTTAAAATCTTGAAAGAAAAGAGAAGTAAAGAAACTAGCTAGAAAGAAATGATTAATTAGATGATATAATTAGAACATACGTGTGTGATCTCACAAAATAAATTGACATAAATTTTTAATTAAGGCTTTACTTGTCTAAATGTTTATTCTCTTTAGGGAAGAGAAGCAATCTAACAGAGTGTGGTAACACTCTACTTATGAGCTAATGAACTAGAAAAAGTTAATTTCAGATACAGGTAACAATGATCAGGATAAAATCCTTTTAACATTATTTATGAAATCTTTCTAAAAATCACAAATGGTCTAAAAGCTCTCTTCATTGCTAACTTCATCTCTTTATTCCTGAGTGTGTAGATGACTGGATTTAAAAAAGGAGTGAGAACAGCATCAGAAATAGCAAGAAACTTGTCCATTTGGGAATTGGGGTGCGGCCACGTATAGACAAACATGGTTGGACCAAAGAACAAAATAACCACAGTGATGTGAGCTGACAAAGTGGAGAGGGCCTTGGATAAACCACCTGAGGAGCGTTTCCAAACAGTTAACAGGATGAAGATATAGGAGATGAGGAGTATAAAGAAGGAACTAACACAGATAAACCCACTATTGACAGTGACCATGAACTGAAGTCTGTAAGTATCTGTACAGGCCAGTCTGAGGAGCCGAGGAAGATCACAGTAAAAGCTGTCCAATACATTAGGACCGCAGAAGGGCAAATTAACAATAAATGCTAGTTGGAACAGTGAGTGGCTCATACCAAGGGCCCAAGCAGCAGCCAGAAACAAAATGCACATCCTCGGGCTCATGATGGTCAGATAGTGGAGAGGCTTACATATGGCAACATATCTGTCAAAGGCCATGGCGATGAGCAGCACCATCTCCACCCCACCAATGACATGGATGAAGAAGATCTGAGCAATGCAGCCTCCAAAGGAAATGACTTTACGCTTTCTGAAAAGGTCACAGATCATCTTGGGAGAAGTGACAGAGCAGGCTCCCAAGTCAATGAAGGAGAGGTTGGCCAGTAGGAAGTACATGGGGGAATGTAAGTGAGAATCAGTGGTCACAGAAAACACAATGAGGATGTTCCCAGTCATGCTTGCCACATAGAGCACAGAGGAGAAGACCAGGACGAGCAGCTGGATCCCCCATGAGTGAGTGAGGCCCAGAAACACAAACTCAGACACCACCGAGTGATTCCCTCCATCCATCGATCCAGCCAACAGGACTGCTGCTGAAATATTGATAACTATGAACATGAGGAGGAAACTGTGATTATGTAGATGATAATTTCCAATTTTTCAATGTTCTCATAATGAATGAAAAGTATGTAATTATCCAGTTCCTCAAATATACAAACAAAAAGACAACAATCAACATAGTATCATCACAATGTTTGAGCTGCAATGTACTTCAAACCTATCATCACAAATACTCTCACTTCAACATTCTGTTCATAAATTAACACAGTAGGCAAGTACAAAAGATTCCAACGTGTCCATGACTTCACCAGCTGTTTAAATCACTTCTGGGGACTTCCCTGGTGGTCCTCTGGTTGGGAATACACCTTGCCATGCAGGGAACAGGGGTTTGACCCCTGCTTGGGGAAATGAGATCCCACATACCTCGGAGCAACTGAGCCAGCGCTCTGCAGTCACAGCATAGAGTCCATGCACCTCAACAAAAGATCCCACATCATGCATCAAAGATCCCACATGCTGGAACTAAGATCTGACACAGCCAATAAGTAAAGATTTTTTTTAATTCACTTCTGATATTGACTATTCCTCATTTCCAAAATATTCCATCATGGTTTTACATATATTCTCATAATATACTTTTCTCACAATTCATTGACAAAAAGTAGTCATGAAAGGAAAACATGATTGATTGGTCAATTGTCACCTGGATTGAAAGTTACATGAGACATGAATTGATAGTCTCCTGTCTCTTATCCTTATCTCAGGATAAGCTGTAGATTGAGACTAAATAAAGAGAATGTGGCATGTAAAAGTGGAGATCCCACAAGTATAGCAAAACAGGGGAAGTATGTGGACTTCAATAAGAAATAAAACCACCACTGTTTCAATCACATTTTATGTCCATGGCTATTCTGGGTGCCTATAGTTTCCACATAATTTTTCATGACTACAAAATCCCTAAACTGGACTCAAAACTCAATAAGGCTTTCATAATGGAGCCTATAGCAGCTAGGTGTGAAAGGCTTTCTCCAGACCTAATAAATGTGTTTTGGGGGAATTTCTGCAGTTTCTGCTAAGGTATATATCTAAAGAAGCCACAGATGATATAAAATATCCTGAAAGCATTTCTCTGTTCATACATGTGAAGGTATAGAAATCAGCACTTGGAATAGTTGAGATATTAAGTAGTAATTCATCGGTGTCTCAGCTTTGTCTTAATGTCATCTCTTATGTTCACTGATACCCCCTTATGCTTTAAAGTATTCAGTATCACCTGCATGATAACCTATTTCAACAGGTGATATTATCCTGCTTAATTTTACTTTGAAATCTATTCAGGTATTTTATCTTCAAGGCAATTTGTATTTTATATTTTTGATTTATGATTATAAAATATGAGGAATATCAAACACTAATAAGTCCCATTATAGGAGGGCAGATGAGATTCCTTCTTGATATTAAATCATAATATACAAAGTGTGACACTGGAGAGTTAGTTCTTTAATATATATAGTATTTATATGTGAGGGAGAGGGTAAGCAGACAATGGTGTTGTGTTTCTCTGTATCCAGACACCCATCTCAATCACTCCTTGTAGATTAGAGCAGTCTCTGAAAACACCTGCTAGAGGTTAATTATTTTAGGACTTAATGAAATGAAGTAGAACAGGTATACTGATATCTTTCATTTTTTGAGGTACAACTCCAGACCTTCTCACTCAAAGGGCCATCTGAGTGATGCCCTCATTCATCATAGACTGCACAACTGACCAAGTCTCTCACTATAGTCTGACTCCAATTCTGGGTCAGCATCACTGGCGTGAATGTCTTTCTATTCTCATCTACATATATTGACTACACTATCATATCCGAATCGAATGGTCCATAGTCTCAAGGTGCACACTTTCCATTACCAGAAACCTGAGGCCTGGAGCAGGGTGCAGGGAACAACCACTTTGCGCTGCTCATCAGGTTGGAGGAGTCCCCAGGGGATGAGACTGATGGGACAGACATATAGGGGAAGGGAGTGGAGGCACAGGATGGGGGAGGCGAGAGACTCAGTAATTATTGGAAAGGTGCAAGGTTTTGGTGATGAAAAGCACATGTTCTCAGTGTGATGGGATGAAAAGCTGTCATGGAATTATGTATGGGCCATTTTGTCCAAGATGGTTATCATTCACATGAAAAACATGAGGCCACATCCAGGTTCACATAATTGGAAGAACTGGAAACCAAAACCTAGGTCTCTTGACTCTTATTCTAGAAAGACAGACTTGAGAGAAAATCATCAAGTTAACAAAAAGAAAATAATTTTTCTTGGTGAAAATCAAAACTAACCAGAGGTACTCATACACTATCCATTATTAACATTAAATTATGTATCTACCTAATAATAAATAAATATTACCTAAAAACAGTTAAAAATTATTTGACTAGTACAATCACAAATTATATTTAGGAAAGGGGTTATTCATTCCTGTTATGTTTGTGCTCCGGTTCTTCATATTTTTCTGGTTATGTAACTGGTCATTACAACTGTAAAACACTTAAGTTGTTGTCTCTAAGGAGACCATTCTTTTGGTCTTCCTAAATTTTATTATCCTCAAAGGATAATTAAAGTGAAGTCTCTCAGTCATGTCCAACTCTTTGTGACCCCATGGACTGTAGCCTACCAGGCTCCTCCGTCCATGGGATTTTCCAGGCAAGAGTACTGGAGTGGGTTGCCATTTCCTTCTCCAGGGGATCTTCCCGACCCAGGGGTTGAACCCCAGTCTCCCTCATTGTAGGCTGATGCTTTCCCCTCTGAACCACCAGGGAAGTCCATTAAAATCCCAATTAATTATTACAGCTTTTATTGGCTTTTACCTTCATAGTGAGTCTTTTGCTAACTCTTGTAAATCAAATACTTGAGAAAACACTTGGAAAAAAAACTAAGAACTGTGAACATAATAAATATTGTCTGATGCAGAATACAATATGTCAATTGAATAGTGAGATATTTGATGATTGGGGGGGCGGGGCAAGGGAGATGTGTTCTAGAAATTCAAGTATAGAAGATACCTACTGTCAGCAACACCAGGTGGGTATGCTGCTCCAAGGGCATAAATACTGATCTGGCTATAGAAGAATTACTGAAAGAGAGAAGGAAGATACATACAAAGTTTGGGAAACACCTTGAATTACATAATATGAAAATGCTCTTTAATATTAACTACCATTATTCACAGACTACCTAGGTGGCTCAGTGGGTAGAGTCTGCCTGCAATGCAGGAGTTTCTATTCCTGGGTCGAGAAGATCCCCTGAAAGAGGGCATAGAGACCCACTCCAGTATTCTTGTCTGGAGAATCCCATGGACAGAGGAGCATGGCATGCTACAGTCTACAGGGTTGCAAAGAGTTGGACAAGACTGAAGTGATTCAGCACACAAACAAGCACCATTATTCACATGTATATAGTTCATGGTATATACCCAGACACATAGAAAGTCAAAAGATCATTCTCAATTGAGAGGTTATGGGTGGTTCAGTAGTAAAGAATCTGCCTGCCAATGCAGGAGATGCAGGAGACCCAGGTTAAATCCTTGGGTTGGGAAGATCCCCTGGAAGAGGAAATGGCAACCCACTTTAGTATTCTTGCCCGGGAAATCCCATGAACAGAGAAGTCTGGCAGGCAAAACTGCATAGGGTCACAAAGAGTCAGACACAATTGAACAACTGAGCACATAGGCATTAATAACCCAAGGCTTATTAAAGTCATGCCATCTTTATTATCCTTGATTCTCCCCATCATCTTTTTTAGTAGTTTAAATACACTTAAGGGAAAGTTTCTTACTTAAAAACTTAGAGAGACAAGACCATTAAACTTCCAATGAGAAGGCACCTATAGCTTTACAACATATTTCTCGTTGGGGATTAGCTAGCATTCATCTCCAAACCAACAGCCAGCACTCAACCTGTTTTCCAAAAGTTTATGGGTACATAGAAAAACAAATTAGAGAGAAAGAATGAATTTAAAATATGTAAAATATCTTAAAGATTGGATAGAGGAGAAATTAGAAAAGATATGCACAATAACAAAAATAAAAAAAAAAGAAGAAGAGGAGAACAGAGAGAACACATCAGGGTTCAGAGAGTGTGAAATAACATAGCCTCTATTTCTGAGAACCCAGATCAGTTAAGAACATCACCCTCTCATCTTTAATTCACTGATTCAGGGCTGCTCCTGACTTTGCAACATTGGGTAGCATTTAAGGAAGGCTGCTGCTGCTGCTGCTGCTAAGTCACTTCAGTCGTGTCCGACTCTGTGCGACCCCATAGACGGCAGCCCACCAGGCTCCCCCATCCCTGGGATTCTCTGGGCAAGAACACTGGAGTGGGTTGCCATTTCCTTCTCCAGTGCATGAAAGTGAAAAGTGAAAGTGAAGTCACTCAGTCGTGTCCGACTCTTAGCGACCCAATGAATTGCAGCCCACCAGTCTCCTCCATCCATGGGATTTTCCAGGCAAGAGTACTGGAGTGGGGTGCCAGTGCCTTCTCCGTTAAGGAAGGCAGATGGTTCCATTACCTGCCCAGTTAGGCTCACAGAGTTTCTGTGAAAACCACACTTGGTAATGAATGGCAGGTTGCCTTCACACTGCACAATGATATATACATTTAATTCACAATAAAAAATTCAACTCTTATTATGACTTGAGGAGTCTATCATATACTAAGCAGAAAAAGGTGTACAGGACAATAGACAACAAGCACATTAAATTCTCCCCCATATATTTTTTCTTTATATTCTACCATCCCAGGAGGGCTCTATGCCTGGGCAGCATCTGCTGTTAGGGTCACAGTATTGTTAGTTTCATAGGTGTGGTTCTTCTATGTGGTGGATTTATCACATGGCTATATGTTCATATTCAAAGGTCCAGAAATAATTTTCAAACATTCATCTCTTAATTTCTTCAGTCCAAAAATGCAAAAATTCACAGATTTCCTTTCATGCATTATAGTGGAATTGTTAATAGCTTGCGCTTTG